AACTCCACTCAAAATTGCCCTAACTTTTGCCTTGGGGACTGAACCCTTGGTAAAAGTCTTTGGTTGAGTTAGGACGGGAAGGAGTAAACTCATATTCTGATACCTGAGGCTCATTAAAAATAAATAGAAATAGATACATATTCTGTATAGCAAGGTGACAAGTCTGATTCTAATACACACACAACACATTCTCCTATCAATTTTCATTTGTAGTCTATTACCAAACTAAGTATTTATGTCCTATAGTTACACACTAACAATCCAAAAGCTTCACCTGTTTGTTACAACATGTATAGGCTGTCCCTACCTGTAACACACATATGTATAGAAAATAAATACATGACAACACTAGATAGGAAGAAAATCCAACCTTGGATCTAGACACAGATCCAATCTCTATTATGGGCCTAACCAAAATCCTGCATCCAAAACATCCTTTAGCTTTGCTACTCAGGCCCATCTCTAATATGTACACACACTGACACATTAATAAAGTGCCTGAGCTGTGACATCCCAGGTGCCTATTGTCTGTGACTAACATTGCATCTATCTTTATGAGTAACCCCTGAGTGACAAAGCCACAAATGATTTCGGGCAGTTGTTCCCAAATTGTGGGCCATGGAACACTGTTGGCTTTGCAAAAGCTGGCTTATCCCATGGCACTAACTCTCCTTGTTTCCACCTTTGGACCCACCTTAAGAAGAACCTAAAATATATACTTTCATAATATTTCTTTTCCTTATACATAAATGCTGTCAGTGCTTCAGGCATGTTAATAGGGAGGTGGTCTGCACCATCAGGAAATGCCAGGAGAGAGGTGACCTATGTCATAAACAAGTTAATAAACTTTGAGTTAACAAGTCTCACCTCATGAAGACAGTGATAATAGTACGTCTATCTATGTACAAGTACATTGCTTTTGATGGTTTTGTTACACAGATTCTTATTCTTTAAAAACTGCATTTCATTGAAATATTATACCCCACACAGCTGCCAGTAAGATTCTATGCAACTTTTTATACACAGAAGAATAAGTCAAACACATAACACTATTCAGTCCCTTTGTGCCACGGCCTCTCCATTGTTTGCAATGAACATTCACAACCCAATTCAGGGCATAAAGTGATTGAAATAATAAGGTAGTTAATGCAAGACTTAACCACATAAACATGCACACACAGCTTTGTGGAGCTTCTTTTCTGCGCTGAGCACCCACACCCATACTGTCATCATGATGGCAGCTTTCACAGCAGTTCCCTTGTGATCATGCAGATGTTTTACCTTTTTACAAGGGAATGTTAGTGCTTTGTAAAAATGCAGGATTAGAAAAGATGCAGCCCTGTACATGACAGCTATATATCCACTAAAACACATACACAACACAGGCAATGGGGGTACAGGCTTCCCCCACACTGCCCCACCAGCATGCCTCAACCCACTTCCAGGGAGGCAGTCTCAGCGTTCAGCCAAGGGTTTATTGTCAGCTGTGATAGTGGGTTTTACCACGTGGGGACCTGTCCCTTGGGAACTGTGCTGAGACCACCCAATCCCTCGACACAGAGCCAGATATTAGTGACATTTCAATCACCATGGATTCAAATAATTTTCCATTTAAAATTTCTTTTTGCCATGCCACCAACCTTATGCCTGCACTCTCACTAGTGCTTCGAGCCCTGTATGTCAACACAGAGCAACCAATAGCAGATAAATCCAAAAGTTTCTTGAATACATAAAGAAAAAACAAAACAAAACAGAACCTTTGGTTCCCACCATCCACTTTTCTATTTAAATAAATACATTAGGAGGGCTAATAGCACAGATCCATTACTCTGAATACGCTATAAAAATATTACCTTCTAAGCCTGATCATTCTTTTTTGAGGTAGGTACATACAGTACAACAGATTAGCAGATTAAGAACTAATACAAATACAAGGCTATACATATATCTGTGTGCAGGGCTTAAATTCAGCCAGAGCTGTCCAGACCAGAGCTCTGCTAAGTATTTTCAGACCCCATAGAGTTTTTATAGCATATGAGGAGGCGAGTGGGGGGTGAGGGGAGAAGAGCCTCTGGGAAATACTCTGAGAATTTAAACCCTGCCTGTGTGTAATTCAGTCATTTAGTGATCATGCAAATATTTTCTTCATTCCTGTTTCATTTGTATTCACACTGCATGAGTTTTGCTTTGACTTCTGTGCTCAGACAATCTCTATATCTAGAAGTGGGCCTAAGCCACAAAGTATAGACCCCAAAGTTTGCTCTGATTGTGGGATTTTGATTTGATCTACTAGAGAATTTGGGCTAGCTGCAAAATTCAAATCTCTAAGTGAAACTCAATTGAAGCCATCATGTTGCATATGGCTTGGCATTAAAAGTAGGGCCGGTCAAAAGACATATATTTTCTGCAAAACATTAAAAGGAAACAAAATATTTCTTTTGTTTGAACTATTTGTGCAATTGTTTTAGTTAAACAAAACCTTAAATTTGTGGATTTCATTTTTTCAAAAAAAAAATATATATATTTACGCCATTTTCTCTCACCTTTTCCCACTAGAAAATAAGGAAAAAGACATGGTGATGGTGGGGGAAGACACAAAAAGTCAACCTTTCAGTTTTTAATAAAAAAGGTTTAGCTGGAAAAACATTTTGAACAGTACTAATTAAAACCATGCAACACAAACAGATAAATCATATTAAAGTTTGTTAAGAACTTGGCCAAGGTTCACATGTGGAAGGTTTGCAAACCTTTAGATGAACCTTAGCAGAGTTCTGAGTTTAGAACAAAAGCAAGTGATCTCTATTTGGTTTGGCGTATTAAATATAGAGCCACCATCATGGAAGAAACAGCATGGAAAAAGCTGCAGCTACTATCAGACTGGGTGAGGGATCCAGAAGTTGAGGGGATGGTTAGGTTGATAATTTTTTTCTAACTGTTTGCAAAAACAATCACTTTTCTCATAAACAAAATAAACTGAAGTCTTAACAGTTATTCTTAAACCCACTGATAATTAGTTCACTAGCAGCAGTTTGTAGAAAGGTGACTGAACAGCAGATGAGCCACCAATTGCCCAGTTATTTTGGGGGTAAAGCACAACTCTCTGAAAGACTGTAAGTGCATCAGCTTCATGGGATAATCGAAGTGCTGAATTTATTCTGGACATCCATGCTGCAAAAGAGTAACCTCTTCATGCTATGATGTTGCATAATTACACAATGTTTTGAACTGTAGATCAGTGGTTGTCAACCTTTCCAGACTACTGTACTCCTTTCAGGAGTCTGATTTGTCTTGAGAATCCCTAAGTTACACCTCACTTAAAAACTACTTGCTTACAAAATCAGACATAAAAATACAAAAGTTTCACAGCACACTATTACTGAAGAATTGCTTGCTTTCTCATTTTTACCATATAATTATAAAATAAATAAATTGGAATATAAATATTGTATTTACATGTCAGTGTATAGTAAATAGAGCAGTATGAACAAGTCATTGTCTGAATGAAATTTTAGTTTGTACTGACATTGCTAGTGCTTTTTATGTAGCCAGTTGTAAAAGTAGGCAAATATCTAGATGAGTTCATGTACCCCCTGGAAGACCTCTGCATACCTCTAGGGGTACGTGTACTCCTGTTGAGAGCTACCCAACCCTCCAGCTGTTTTATTTGTCTGGATTTGTCTTGAAAGAAGCAACTTTTTGTGCATAAGTATAGTACTACTGTGGCCATAATGAAAGCTTTGCCCATCTCTACTTAATGCCCAAAAGTAGTTACTCTTAATATAAAGTGTGCTAACAGAGCCCTCAATGTTCAGTTGAATTGTGCAAAGTTTTCATTACTAACAGATTGGGCCAGTGAACCAACACATTTCCCTGTTCCTCTAGAATCTAAGGGTATGTCTGCACCCAGCCGCTAGTTCGGCGGCTGGGAATCGAAGTTCTGGGTTCCACTTATCGCGTCTTGTCTGGATGCGATAAGTCAAACCAGGAAGTGATCACCGTCGACTGCGGTACTCCAGCTATACGAGAGGAGTACCGCGGCGTCGACGGGGGAGCCTGCCTGCCGTGTGTGGACCGAGGTAAGTTCGAACTAAGGTACTTCGACTTCAGCTACTTTATTCACGTAGCTGAAGTTGCGTACCTTAGTTCGAATTTGGGGGGGGGGGTAAGTGTAGACCAGGCCTAATTCTTCATTTTTAAATGTCTCTAGCCCTCCTGGCTTAAAAGATAACCTTTACATTATGAACTGAGTGCAAATTTATCCAGTGGTGTCTGCCTGACTCAACAGAGAGCCTGAGACATTTCCTCTCAAATCTGTTAACTTCCCCTAATTCATCAGTGGAGTGTCAATGCTGAAACATAATTTTAAAATATAAATTGTCAACATTTTGCTGCTGATCAAAACAAACAATTAAAAAAAGTGTATGATCATGTAATGAGGATCGGCACAATCTGTGAACAGCATCTTATTCTGCCATCACAAGTGGGTGCAGCTTGGGAGAATTCTACCAGTTATTCCCACCCCTCCACTCCCTGCATCCCAATTTGCCTCCCAGAGAGTAAACTGAAACTCAGATCAGGGACTCAAAGTCTCAAGTGACTACAAACCTCACAGTGACTTTAGGGTGGGTTTTGAGCAAACCTGGGTAGGTTCAAGTGTTTGGGCACAAAATGATGTGAAAAATGACCAGATGTCAAACAAAAAAGAAACAATTGTACCAAAATGAAGCCTAGGGAATGAAAAACCAAGTGAATCGAAATTGGGGCAGGGGGTAAGGTCCACACGAATGAAACCACCAAAGTTTTGACTAAATTTCACTCTATAGTTTGCTACATTGTGTCTCAAAGCTACATACAATGAACAAAGCCTGCTGTGTTACTAACATGTGCACATAGCAGCCTTTTGTGCAGAGCTTCCCCCCCACCCACAACCTTTCAAGAAAACTCAACTGATTCCCCCTCCCCACCCCCAAACTTAAGTAAAGTGCATCTGCATCTGCATCCTGCTCTAAAATAAGAGAGAGACCGAAAACAAAACCTTGGAGTCAAAAGCCCCTGAGAGTTATAAGTTTAGATCCAATCTCCGCACCTCGGGCCCATCTCTATTCCCTCTGAACACTGGGGATGCTGTTTTTTTAAGAAAGTCAGAGGTAGCTTCCAGTATGACATAAGAGATACAATAGCAACTGCTAGCTGAGACCAGCACAGCTCTGACTTGTGTAGCCAGGTGGAGGATCCCTTTTGGCTGGTCTGGTAGAACTGCTCCTGAGGATCAACACCAATTCTTAGCCTGACACCAGGGTTCAATAACACACAGGATGCACACCCACAGGGAGTTTAGTTGCCAGGGGAGACACTGCTGCCAATTGGTTACATCTGCTGTAGTGTCCGGCCTCCTACTGGCAGGCAGACAACAGATTGCTGTACTGCAGCAGATGTGTGCATAACAGAGTCAGCAGCACTCAGACACTGCTTAGTGTTCAGGTCAGATCCATGCAGCGATAGATCCTGACGTGAATGATTTTCAGCACGTTTTTCTCAGAAACTAGGTTTTTGTTTGTTAAAAAACAAAACCAAAAACATCTAAATTGAGATTTACATTGAAAGCTGTTGACATGTATGAAAGACTCCAAATCCTCATCTCAGTGGATGAGCGCTGATCTTAACGTGAGAGACAAAACAGTTAGGATTTAGTCACAGCTCGGTGCCCTTCTAAAAGGAGGTCGTTTAATGCAATAACCGTGGCAGCAAAGTCAACCAGCTCCACAAAGTCTGATGTAATTATGTTAACGCCCATAACGCCTGGCTTCTGTGTCTTTACCCAGTTCAAAATCATAGGCAGGTTCCTAAAGAAAAAAGAAGGATAAATATGTTAACCAATATAACACACTGGTATGGAAGCACCTTGATTTTGCTCTACATGTAACAGTTTGTCTATGAACAGCATGTTTGCACAGTATCCTTTAACCCCAAAGTAGCAAACTAAATATATATTGCACCCTTAAAATGCAACCACCTCTGGGGAGAAGGGTGGCAGAAAACAGCACACTGCACAACCATTTTTTTTGGTGTGTGTATCGGGGGGTGGGGAGGGGGGAATAGAAATATTGGCCAAAGTCACCAGTGGAAACCGCTGCTCTTACAAGACATACTATAGGATTCTTAATGATTTGCTGAACAGTTAGGACCTCAGAATTTAAGGTTCTGCAATGGTTTCTTTGTTCTTGTTTTGTCTGAGTATATACTGATCTGAAGTCTTAAGTCATAGCAATTAGGTCTTGTGTTATTACTTAAATCATTGTAATTAGGGATGGATGAAATGGTTTGGATTACTAAGAACTGAATTTTTTTTCAGTCAGTCCTTGAAAAGAACTTGAACCAAGGGTTTGCAGAGGTTTTTGTGCTCCTCTAACACTACAGCAATGGGGTTTCCATAGGAGCCAGAGACAGACGTAACTAATCCTATGAGTGCCATAGTGTGCCTGTTGTTTTACAAGCAGATAGAAAGGCAAGCTGTCTGCCCCTTGGAGCTAGCAATCCCAAGAATAAAAGTAATAACAACCCACAAAGGAAGTCATCAGTAAACAAAAGGAAAGGGATACGGGCAAAAGAGTAGTTATTCTCATGAAAAGCCAGTCATTTGTAAATCATTGTGTGGAATAATTTCAAATGTTTCTTCTCTATTAGTTAGAACTTAATGCAAAATGGTTTAATACTCATGTTTAGGGCCAGCATTATCAGAATCAGAAGGCAGAGGTCCATACAAAATTGTACAGCCAAATTTGAATGTACAGAACAGGCAGTTTCCATTCAACTGTGTATAAACACTGAGCATGAGGGTGCAAGCAGGCTTTAATTTGTGAAGTATTTGGACTCTGATTTTAACTGTATGTGGTTTCAAGCCTTCAGTGTTTAAGCAGAACTTCTCCGTGACTTCCTTAGAAAGTTGTGCTTTAAACCTGATGACACATTATGGCTCTGTATTTGAATTATTGTTGGAACAAATGTTAATATTTGAATTACTGTTGGAAGACCTCAGGGAAGTAACTAATTTTAAGGAGGGATTTGCTCCATCTGACCATTATTAAAGCTCCTGGAAATGCCTTGAAAATTAATGCATTGATGTTTGTGAAGCGTTTTGAGGATGAGAATGGTCATGTGAGTTTTGACACATTCTTATAATATTGCACATTTAATATATACTGTAGAAGAACCATATTGTATCCATGCAATTAAGTTTTCTCTCTATTAAGTATCTTCAGTTAAGATTAAGAAACAATTTTAAATGTGTAGAGCTTTATTCCTTAAAACGCATGCCTCTCTTAAAAAAGAAAGGTAGGTGAGGTGATATCTTTTCTTGGACCAACTTCTGTTGGTGAGAGAGACAAGCTTTCGCACTTACACAGAGGGCTTGTCTACACATACAGCGCTGCAGCGGCGCAGCTGTACCTTTGCAGCTGCACTGCCGTATCACTTAGGTTGTCTACACTGTGCACACCACCTCCAGTCCGCACCAGCACTTTTAGTTGTTAAAACTTTTTATCATTCAGGGAGTGTTTTTTCACACCCCTGTGCAACAAAAGTTTTAACAATGAAAGTGCCAAAGTAGACAACGCCTCAGCAAAGACACTATCTATGATGAGGGTGAGGGGTTTTCTCCCATCAGCACAAGTACTCCACCTCCCTGAGAGGTGGCAGCTATGTCACCGTGAGAAGCCCTCACGTTGACATCGTGCTGTTTACACCAGGAGTTCAATCTGTATAACTGTGTTGCTCAGGGGTGTGAATTTCCACATCCCTGAGGGACATAGTTATACCAACTTAAGTCTGTAGTGTAGACCAAGCCAGAGCTCTTCTTCAGGTCTGGGAAACTTACCCAGAGTGTCACAGCTAAATAGAGGATGGAACAGATTGTTTAGTACAAGTAGTTAACACTCAAGGGACCACTCAAGGTGAAGTGACTTGTTAACACCCCTCTAGACATAGGGAGGAAAAGGAGGGAAGAGAAACAGCTGGGTGGGAGCTGTTAGTGGGTTATAGGTTGTTGTAACATGATTTTTAGTGTCAAGAAATATGACTATGAATTTAAGCTCGTCCTTTTTGTGAAAAGTGTTCACCCACAGGTGATGTGATGTTTTTGTCTTTTATCATTTTCCTGTGTGAGTTCATTCAAGAGACAGCACACCTTTCAAGATCCATGGGTCCTACACATGCCTATCACAACATGTGGTGTACCTCATCCAGTGCACTAAATGCCACAGTAGCAACTATGTGGGTGAAACCTGACAATCACTATGCTCTCAAATGTTCCACCTTGTATGTATATGCGACACTCTGAGTAAGTTTCCGAGACCTGAAGAAGAGCACTGTGTAAGTTCGAAAACTTGAGTCTCTCACCAACAAAGGTTGGTCAAAGAAAAGATATCATCTCACCCACCTTGTTTTTTTAAGTGTCATGTGTTTTCAGGAGTAAAACTATACAAATTTAAAATGGTTTCTTAATCTTAAAGATATTACCTCACCCACCTTGTCTCTCTAATATACTGGGTCTAATAGCGCTACACATACTCTTAAAGAAAGCATTTTAGCACCATCTAGTGTTTAATGTACAAAAAACAAACTGCAATCTTGGAAAACAGGAAGTTCAAAATCTTTGGATCAGATTACTTGGATACTAACATTATTTCATTATTTGGCTTTAGACATTATTCTGTCAGACTAAATTCTGTGGAAAGGCAAGAGACAGGAACTCCACGTCCTAACTTCAACCATAGGAACTTCAGTAGTTCTATTATGTGGATATTTTAGATTCCGACCCTCTGGGCCTTTGAGGTTTTCTAGTCCAGTCCCCTGCACTCAAGGCAGGACTAAGTTTTATCTAGACCAGGGGTGAGCAAACTATATTTTAAGCTGGTTGGCGAGCTGCCACTGGGGAACGGAGTCTGGGGCTTGCCAGGCGCTCCAGCCAGGGCACCAGGTTGGGGGCCGACCACACAGCTCCCAGAAGCACCCGCATGGCCCTGCTCCGGCGCTAGCAGGCCACTCCATGCGTAGGAGCTGGAGAAGAGACATGCCACTGCTTTCGGGAACCGCTTGAGGTAAGCGTGGCTCAGAGCCTGCTCCCTGAGCCTCTTCCAGCCCTTATCCCCCTCCTGCCCTCTGAACCCCTCGATACCAGCCCAGAGCACCATCCTACACCCCAAACTCCTCATCCCCAGCCCCACCCCGAGCCCACACCCCCAACCAGAGCCCTCACTCCCTCCCGCACCACAACTCCAATTTTTTGAGCATTCATGGCCCGCCATACAATTTTTATTCCCCGATGTGGCCCTCAGGCCAAAATGTTTGCCCACCCCTGATCTAGACCATCCCTGACAGGCGTTTGTCTAACCTATTCTTAAATACTTATAATCATGGCGATTCCACAACCTCCCTGGGCAATTTATTCCAGAGCTTAACCACCCTGACAGTTAGGAAGTTTTTCCTAATGTCCAACCTAAACCTCCCTTGCTGCAATTTAAGCCCATTGCTTCGTGTCATATCCACAGAGGTTAACTAGAACAATTTTTCTCTCTCCTCTTTCTAACAACCTTTTATGTACTTGAAAACTGCTAAGTCCCCCCTCAATCTTTTCTTTTCCAGACTGAACAAAGCCAATTTTTTCAGTCTTTCCCGATAGATCACGTTTTCTAGACCGTTAATCATGTTTGTTGCCCTTCTCTGGACTTTCTCCAATTTCTCCACCTCTTTACTGAAATGTGGCACCCAGAACTGGGCACAATACTCCAGTTAAGGCTGTATCAGTGTGGAGTACAGCGGAAGAATTATTTCCCGTGTCTTGCTTACAACACTCCTGCTAATCCATCTCAGAATTATGTTTACCTTTTTTTGCAACAATGTTACACTGTTGACTATATTTAGCTTGTGATCTATTATGACCCCCAGATCCCTTTCCACAGTACTCCTTCCTAGCAGTCATTTCTCATTTTAAATGTGTGCAATTGATTGTTCCTTCCCAGGTGGAGTACTTTGCATTTGTCCTTATTGTATTTCACCCTATTTACTTCAGACCATTTCTCCAGTTTGTCCAGAGCATTTTGAATTTTAATCCTATTCTCCAAAGCAGTTACAATCCCACCCAGCTCGGTATCATCTCCAGACTTCATAAGTGTACTCTCTATACCATTATCTAAATCAGCGTTTGTCAAACTGGGGTCTGCAAGGGCACTCCAGGGGGTCCATTGGCCCTGCTGATCAACTCCTCTCCCTCCCTCCCAGCACCTCCTGCATGCCAGAGAACAGTTGTTCAGGGGCATGCAGGAGATGCTGGGAGAGAGGGGGAGCAGGGACAGGGGGCGCTCGGCAGAGAGGGTAGAAAGAGGCAGAAAAGAGGAGGGGCATGGGTGGAGCGGGTGTGGGAAGAGGTGGGGCGGAATGTGGCCTTGGAGGAAGGGGTGGAGTGGGGGTGGGGCCTGGGGCTAAGCAGAAGGGCTTGGGGGTCCACACATTTTTTAAAATGAAAATGGGGGTCCTCGGGTTGCTAAAGTTTGAGAACCGCTGATCTAAATCATTTATGAAGATATTGAACAGAACTGGACCCATGACCGATCCCTGCATGACCCCACTTGATATGCCCATCCAGCTTGACTGTGAACCACTGATAACTACTTTCTGGGTATGGTTTTCCAACCAGTTATGCACCCACCTTATAGTAGCTCCATCTAGGTTGTATTTCCCTAGTTTGTTTATGAGAAGGTCATGCGAGACAGTATCAAAAGCCTTACAAAAGTCAAGACATACCACATCATCTGCTTCCTCCCTAAGGGTATGTCGGATAAGCGGGCAGCGATCGAGACACGATAAATCGATCCCTGAGTGCTCTCCCGTCGACTCCTGCTCGGCAAGAGGCGCAGGCAGAGTCGACGGGGGAGCAACAGCAGTTGACTCACCGTAGTGAAGACACCACGGTAAGTAGAGCTAAGTACGTAGACTTCTTGCGTAACTTAGATCGACCCCCCTACCCCCCAGTGTAGACCAGGCCTTAGGCTTGTTACCCTGTCAAAGAAAGCTATTAGGTTGAGTTGACATTATTTATTCTTGACAAATCCATGCTGTTACTTATCACCTTATTATCTTCTAGGTGTTTGCTTGCTTGATTGCTTATTTGTTCCATTATCTTTCTGGGTACTGAAGTTAAGGTGACTGATCTGTAATGCCCCAGGTTGCCATTGTTCCCCTTTTTATAGATTGACATAATATTTGGCCTCTTCCAGTCCTTTGGAATCACTCCTGTCTTCCATGAATTTTCGAAGATAATCGTTAATGGCTCAGATATCTCCTCAGTTAGCTCCTAGGATGTATTTCATCAGGCCCTGGTGACTTGAAGCCATCTAACTTTTCTAAGTAATTTTTACCTTGTTCTTTCCCTATTTTAATTAATGTGTGTGTGTGTGTGTGGGGGGGGTGTTTTAGGAAAAAAAGCAATAAGTATCACTAGAAGAAACAGTGATTTCCCCCCAAAAATCTAGAATCTGGCTGTTATTAACTTGGGACTGAAGATTCAATGAGTTTTCCAGAAAATCAAAGGCCACATGTTAACTGGTTTCCAGTGCTGCTCATTTCGTTGTTTTATATCCAGTTCAGTAGGTGATATGGTCATTTTGACAATCAGATTCATAGTAGCAGCTAGCACCATTGTTACTAACTGCACAGGACTGGATGCCAGTCTGTATGTTGCCCTGACAAATCCAAGTGTTGATTATATGGTACGAGTAGAGCTAAGGAGTAAGATTCCAGGCCTTAAACCGCAAAAAGGATCACTATTCACTCTGTGATTTGGAATATAGGCTACACAATGTTAATATCACACAGCAGAATCATTTGGGTCAGATCCTGGGAAATGATGGGCCCTGCACCTGCCCTTTAAGTCATTATGAGTAACAAGGGTGCAGCAATTTTCAGGATCAGGCCCTTTATTAGTTGTCTTAGTTATGGATAAACCATGTAGCCACAATTAGAAAACTCCTATTATTCATCTCTCTCTTTTTTTTTTGGTCTGGAGAAGCAAGACACATTTAAGGTTAAATCTTGTCCTATGAGCGTGTAAGTGTTATGGAAGTCACTGGGGTTGGTATGCATATAACTCAGAGCACATTTTAGTCCACAGAAAATGAAATCTGGGTTTTCATGTAAGAGATAAGCTTGTTTTTCCTCTTCACTTTAAATCAAGAAGAGTTGAGGGGACTTATTTTCTCTAGCGACACCATTTCAAATTGCTCTCTGCTCACAAAAGAATATGAATTTGGTCTTGCATTTTGTCAGCCAATATCATGACTAAAAGGCTTTGCACTTATGCTTGATATATAAACCATGAAGCATTTTCCCAGCATCCTTTGTACTTAAGCTAAAATAAAATTGTATTAGTAGCGTGTATGAACTGTGTCCTTGGGTACATGTGGGAGCTGTCAGGGATAAGATTCATGTCTTGTTAAGGCCTAACAAGTTGCACGAGGTGCTGGTACTGAGGAATAAGGATGGTTGGCGTGATGTCTTTGTGACCTGACAACTAAGTTCAAAATAAGATAAGAAACTGGTAAGAACTGGGTGTACCCTACTTTTGTTGTAAACAAGGGTATTATATGAGCGAAGTAAGTCCATAATTTTGGAGCAGATTGATTGCTGTGAGACTCTACTTCCCAGATTGGATTGGTAAAGTATTAACCCTTTCCCTTTTGTGTTGTGCTGTATTGTCTTTGACTAATAAAGATGGCTGAGCCTTATCTGATATCTCATCAATACCCTAAATTGAACCCTACCAACATGTTCTCTGTGGATATTTACACCTAAAGGGATATTTTATGTTTTAGCTTAACTGCAGGGAGTGAGATGCTTGCAGTCATCAAATATAAGTAACAATATATCCTGAAAGATCAGCTACTTGTATGTTGTTAATAATTCAAGCACAGGCCTGGTAGTTACTTGCTTATTCATTGTAACTTCAAGGTAAAAGTTACAAACAAGGAGCTGTAGAACCAAGACAAATCCTTACCTGTGAACAAGCGTATTTTTTAGGCCACGAATTAGGTGCCGTGCAATAGTTTTGACCCTGGGTGTGAGAATAGCTTGAGAAACATGAAAAGTTCCATGTTGAGCCCGCTCCCCAAGAGTGGTCTCTAAGAACTGTAATAGCTTGTGCACGTTCGTTGTGTTTGCCCAAGGTGCTGGCATTTTATTCCCTGGCCACAGGAAGGGATATTTCTGATACAGAGGGTAGTGGTAGAAAATGAGAACCTAAATAATGGAGAGAAAGATAGAAAAGAATGCAAATTAAATCGAATCATGATGTTTTGGAACCAAATTTTGCATTTAAATATATCCATGCAGTCCCATTGAAGTCTGAGTACACGTGTGTATAATCTGGTGAGAATCTGGCCTCCTATCTTTAAACTAGTACACTGAATACAATTAATTCACTGGAGTGTTGCCATAAAGGAGAAAATCATTTTGATTAGTTGCAAATTCAGGACTGCATAGTGTTTCAAGCGTCACTATAGAAAAAGGAGAATTTACAGTATGAAACTGAAATCACATTCCAAGATGTTTTACTTAAACAACATTCCTCTAATCTTACTCTTAATATTTGTCAGACAGCATTGCCACAATTACTTTTATCTCAGGAAAGGGATGGTGGCAAGTTAGGAACTAAAATACTGTGTAACTCAATTCAAATTAACTTGCTGTGATATACTGGGCTGGCTCATATACTGGCGTTCCACTGCCATTTACTGGATGGAACACCAAAGACAATCTCATTGTCTGCTATAACCTGCACTGTGCCTTCTGGAGCTGAGATATGAGTTTTATTCCTGGTGTCATATGAAGTAGCAGTTTATGAGAGTCCTATGAATATCTGGGAAAGGTCTTCAGATCCAGAGTTAAATATTTACATTGGGATTCAGTGTTCTAGTTCAGCCCATCAGGGAGTTTCAAGCCAGATGTGTGCTGTTTGCCTCTATATCTGGATCTGAACATCTTAGAGGTTTATAAAGAAAATGGATCTTGAGTTCAGATCTGGATCCATCTCTAGAAAATCTGGATACTGAGTGTTACATCCCAATCTGTTTGTTTCTAAGTGTCACATGATTTATTGAGAGCTAGCTATATCTAAAACAGAACACCTTTCATTATCTGAATTGACAAGGGGCTCTTTGCTTTAATCAGGTAGAATCCAGGAAGCAGACTGAAGAGGACTTGTTCAGAGGAATTCCTCAAAGCATGACTGCACACACACGACTTTATAGTTTTGGAATTAAATGGAAGCACTGGGAGTCTTTTGCTTCAAGACTGAGCATTAGTGAGCTGCAATCAACAGACACCATAGTCATCAACTAAAGCTCACTCATGCACTAACATGGATAGAACACAGACCGTTTGCTCCTAAAACATAGATGAGATAAGAGACTATGCATTAGCTATCTATAGAATTAAAGTTTTTATTCTTTGTGTGGGCTAGTTACTGGAGGACAACGTGTCCTCACAAACACCAAGCCAACACTTTACAAAAGATCAACTACATATGCAAGCTTGTATCTTTGTTGCATATTTGTGAATTCCTGCATAATAGGGCCCTGACCCCCAGATGCCCCCATAATACAAAAAATAAAATTAATAATAATATGCTTGGAACCCTAGTCAGACACTCTTTATAATTTGAATTGTAACATTTTGGGCTTAGACTCATTACATGTCCTTTCCCCACCTGCTGACTCTTCTCCCAAAGATATTGCAAGGTCACATTTTCTACATATTCCATTGTGCAAAGTTTTGATCCAAATGCTTCCCGGATCCTGTTAATCAGGTATATGTGGTGCTGGTCTTCCATGGCATAGAAGTGATTGAAATCCAAGAAGATGGCTTCTTTGGGGTGCTGTGTGAGGAAGGTGTTTATCTCCATCAGTCCGTCCCATACTTTGATGCCAAACAAGCCATGTATGAAATAGATCTCCTGTCCCACTTCTCCCGGTTTGGAAGATACGCGCAGATCAAAGTAGCGGATCCCACCTTCCAGCTGCTCTTTGAAGGTCAGGTTTTGAGTCACTGACCATTTCTTCATCAGCTTTTTCACCAAAGAAATTTTAGCCAAACGTTTGATTGCCGTGGCTTGATCAGGTCCCACAGGTGATTTCTCATCAACCCAGTAGCTGAAAGAATCATGTGATCCTAGAGATAAAAAAATAGTCATTTTAATGTTATAGCATCGAAAATAATATTTCATGTGTCCTGTATGGCACAAAGGTCTAGTGTTAAGGCACTGGACTGGGATTCAGGAGATTTGGGGTCAACTTTTAGCTCTGACACAGGACTTCTTGTGTTACCTTGGGCAAGCCACTTCATCTTTAAGTCTCAGTTTCCCCATCGGTACAATGGGAATACCACTTCCTTTGTCTTATCTATTCACATCTGGGAGTTGTTTAGGGTTACAACTGTCTCTTAAGATGTGTTTGTACAGTTCCCAGCATAATGCAGTTTAGATGCTAATAGAATATAAATAATAAATAGCCATAGTAAGGAGAATCCTCTGTCCCATTATCCTCTCCTGTGTTCATACTCCTCTGTTCATCGAAGAAACAAGCAAGCTACCTTCACAGTTCTTCCACTGTGGTGGCACAGGGGTCTGAAGCTGGTCTTGTGCTTGTTCATGAATTCAGCACTGAGCCCTAGAATGAACCAAGATTCTCTTTTTATACTGTATTTATTCCTTGCTGTAGAGGGGTGGTCACCCCGCTCCGGCCCTGAAAGGGTTAAAAGCAGCCCTGGAGAGAGCTGTGGCGGGGAAAACCTAGGCTGATTGGGGGAAGCAGCCACAGCTGGGGCCACGCCCCAATCAGGCCACAGCTGGCCCTTTAAGAGGGCTGAGGGCCAGAGGCTGGGAGGAGTCTCTCCCTAGCTTCTGCGAGAGAAGGGCACCTAGGGTGAAGCAGTGCTGGGGAAGGGCAGAGGGAGCTCCAGCCTAGTAAAACCCCAGGCTGCAGGCCTTGTTAGGGTAGAGCAGTGCTGGGGAAGGGCAGAGGGAGCTAGGGAGCTCCAGCCTAGAAAAACCCCAGGCTGCAGGCCTAGTTAAAGGCCTACAAACAGGTACTGGGGTGCAGAGGGGCAGCCCAGAGATAGGCACAGGCAGCAGGTCCTAACCCCCCTTGCCGATGATGAGTGATTTACAGACTGCAGTCTGCCCCAGGGAGCGGGGCTAGATGGTGACTGGCAGTAGCCACTGAGGCAAGGTGAGGATAGAGGGTTGGGGGTTTCCCTGGGAGGGGAGACCCAAAGCAAGGGGGTGGGCAGAGGAGCAAAGGGCACTGGGGTCTGGGAGGGACACGGGGCCAGTGGCAGGCAAGACAGTGGCCTGCAGAGGGTGCACTGGGCTGGAAAGAGCTAATTCCCGAGATGGCCAGCAGGAGGCGCCGCACCGGTGAGTCGTCGCCCCACAACACTTGCCTTACTATCATAACTCTCTACGGTTACTTAAAATTACACTTGACTGTGGGGAAACAACCTAAGACACCAAAGCTCTTGGTTAATCTATGGGACAGAGACCTCAGGCTGTGGCTGGGTGAAAATCCTCGCAATGCACTGCCAACGAGTCTTAGCTCAGTTCAGTCATCTGATGCCTGGTCAATCTCCATGCTCAGCTAGTCCTTGGCCTTTCTGCTGATACTGACAACCAGGTAGCAGGTACTGTCAGTTGTAATGATATTGTTTTGTATTTGTGGATACCTCTATTCCAGGAACAGGACTGAGAGCAAACTCATTTCAAACAGGCCATTGCACAGGCTTTTTACTGGCAATGACTTTAGGTCACTACTAACCTTGTAAAAATGCAGGAAGGTGACTAAGAAATGAAAGATTCCCTCTCTCATCGTCAGTCACCTGACAACCTGAGCCATCATCCCACTGCCCCACCCAGTCTCTGCAGGAGAGATGGTCATGTGCCTGTGACACAGGGTGTCAGCATTATGGACACATGACAGAATCTGGCAGGGAAATCATGCACCTAACCACAAAATAATGCTCATAAATAAAGCTCCATCCCTCACAAGTCTAATAAAAAGGTACCAAAAAGAACCTAGTAAGAAAGAAATCAAGAAAAACCCATTGTGGATTATGTCTCCCTAGTTACTGCTTGCAGGACATACAAGAGAAGAGCGGCTGGGAGCCCCTGAAGAAGTCCTGACTTGATGGCAGTGCGAAGCACCCAAGGGCAGGAAGGAGGATCTTAATTGGAGCAGAAACTTTGAGGGGAGGTGGGGCCAAGAACATAGTACTTAGAGGGGACCCTGGAGTCCCCTGTCAGAGGCAACATTAAGCAGCTCTGGGGATAGAAATCTGCCTGCCAAGACTCCAGGTTTAGCTAGATTTCCAACATCCATCCCAGGGAGCTCCATCCTGGCCAATATGCTAGGGCTTTGCAGACACAATCCTTCCTCTGCAGTCCCATCCAGGAAAACAACTAAGTGGTTCTAGCCTCTCCGCTCCCTGGCTCCTTCTACTCTCCCAATTAACAGCTTGCAGCTTCTCTGCTGGGCTTGACCCACTAACCATTTCCCTGGAGAAGATAGGGATTCCTGCTCTTAGGGCAGGAATTGAAGGAGCAAGCTACATCCAAATAGCCCTGCTCCTACTGCCAGTCTGAATCTCAGGGATGCTGCCCGGCAATGCTAGCTCCCTCAGTTCCTGTCCACTTTGCTGAAATATAGGAAGCATACACTGACTCCACCAGACTACATAATATTCTAGCATATTACAAGTGCCAACATCCCCTTGCCTCCCATCTCTCCCCTCCCTGAAAATCCAGCAATTCCCCTGCCACTTCCCTGAATACTACTACACAATCTCCTTGTCTGATTCTTTTTTTCCCTCCTCTCTATCTGTACTCTGTAAAAATCTAATTAAGGTTCGAAATTTGTTTTTTAAAAAACACCTCATGTGCCCTATTTATTAGACAAGCATCTCTTGTGTGTGTATGTGTGTGCGCTCACTTGAAGACTAATATGTTTCCTGTCATGCTGCAGCATCAGAGCTGTAAATGAGATTATGATCTCAACAGGATTACCTTGTTAGGGTTATTAAATCCATGTGGACGCATAAGCTGTTCACAAGTCAAACATCAGTTAGCAAGATTCCAAAGCACACCAACAGTAATAAGCATGAGAGGTTCCCCTCCATTGTGTAACTCCACACACAGGCATGTGTGCGAGAGGGGGAGGAATCTCTCCTTCCCCAGTCAGAGTGGTGGAATAAGGGAGAAGAGAGGCACATCAGAATTTTGCAGTTTCAAGAAAACAAAGCTATTTTGCTTTGCTTCCCCAGAAGAGTGACTTCCCCACAAGTCTGATAATATATTTAATAGTTACAAGACCCTCATCCCATTGCAGATTGCGGCATTTAACAGGATAAATGAAACTAGTGCAAGACAAAGGAGTGTTTCCCAGAACTAGAGATAAGTAATGGCATCAGAATTTTGTGTTTTCCAATCTACCTTCATGCATGTGGCTTTAGACAGATGGAGGTGTAAACATGGAGTCATAAAGCACAGGCACATCGAATCCAATCCAATCCAGTGCAAGCACTCATGTACGCCTACAAACGTATTACTAAACAAGGGAAATTTGTTGAGGGCTGGCAAGTATATTCACAATTTAAACAAATCAGTATAGGAAATATTTAAAACTTTTTTATGATTTTTCCATACACGCTTTAGAGACTGGATTCTTAGTGAACTGGAGAAGAAGCTCTTTCATGTTGCTACATTAAAAGTCCCTATATCTATGACTTAATGAATGTTAGTAAATGTTTTGAGACTGTGGATAAAAGACCCTCGAGTATAAATTATTTTATATATAATAACATTAATTAATTTTAAGATTTGCCCAAAGTCTTTCTGCAGACCAGAAGCATAGTGGAGAACAGAACCCAGGTCTCCTGAATCTCAATTCACTACCCTCTCCACTGTACTGTACTGGGGAAATACTCTCCTTGTGAAGCGTTTTGTGACACCAGATGTTAGTTAGTATTCCGATTACAACAATATTAGAACTGCTTTGGTGCTGCAGCTTCAATGTGAGCCTCACTGCCAAATACCCCGAGATGTCAAGACTTAATTTGGAATCATAGGAATGCATAGGTTATGAAATACAATACTGGAACAAACCATTTAATGGTCTCTCTAGTCCAGTATCCCATCTCTCCACCAGCAAAGGTTGGATACGTCAGGGAAAGCTATACCCTCTCCTCTGTCTGCCCAGGCATTCAAATTCCTTCCTGACACCAGATTGTTACTATGATAGATAGCTCTTGTAATTTTACCCTAGCAAGTGCAACTGTACATTCATGAACCCTTTTACACTTCCACTATGCCAATTCCCAAGTTAATTGTGTGTTAAATCTATTGCCTTTATTATCTTTCATTATTCAAGAATGTTTTTGTTCTATTTTCTTTGTTTCAGTTGTTAAGAAGCAGCTTTTTAGCTTCACATCTGTAACTATTTCTAAATTCCCAATTCTTCACGTTTTTCATGTTCCTTAGAATCATAGAATCAAATTAATTAGTCAAATCAAGCGAATGCAGTTACATTAAAAAAATTTGGCATTATTTGGTCTTAGACTTAATTGTTATTTTCACTGTTTTGTGTGGGTTATCAAGAACTGGACTTTAATTATTCCTTTTTCTTGTTACTGCATAAAGTTGATAATAAGAGAACACTGTATAATGGTTAGAACATGGTGTCTGGAAGCAAGAATTATGGGTCCTATTCTACTAATGACTTCCTGTGTGTCATTTAATTAATCTGTACTTTACCCTAACAGGATGTTGTGAAGCTTACCGTGTGTGCAAAAGGATTTGAAATCTTTCAATGTAAAACAAATTTCAAGTACAAAATATATTGTCTACACACTGAAATAGATATAAAAATACCCTTTCTTAGACAAAAGCATATCTAACATCATCTCTACGAATCTAGTTTTCCTGGCAGTGAGATATATTAGGCTGTGGACTAGTCTAAATAAGTGGGGGAAACCCCTTTTCTTACGACTTTTAGAACCAGGCAGGACTTAAACACCAGACAATACTGAAGGGGAACAGTGCTGCATTTTCAGGGAAATGGACTGGATCAGTGGAAAGATTTTTCTCATTGCTGACATACAAAGTATGATTACTGAAAATT